TGATGCTGATGATGATGATGATGATGCTCTTGATGATGATGCTGCTGATGATGAGGATGTCGATGTTGACGCTGGTGCTGAAGATGCTGCTGCTGCTGATGGTGCTGCTGATGGTGCTGCTGATGAAGACTATGACGATGCTGGTGATGTTGACGTCAGTGGTGATGCTGATGATGCTGATGATGATGCGGCTGATGCTGATAATGATGACGACGATGATTACGGTGATGATTCCGATGCTGTTGCTGATGCCGATGTGGCTGACGCTGCTGATTATGCTGTTGCTGAAGACGATGATGGTGATGATGATGGTGATGATTATGATGCTGATGCTGATGACGACGGCGACGACCACAGTGGCGACGACGATGATGATGATGATGATCATGCTGCTGATGATGAGTATAATGACGATGATGCCGCTGATGCCGCTGGTGATGCTGGTGATGCTGACCATGATTATTGCGCTCATGATGCTGATACTTGTGACGCTGATGCTCGTGATGCTGCTGATGCTGCTGCTGATGCTGCTGATGAAGATGACTATCCTGCCATGATAGTCATGCTGAGGATGATGCTGATGCTGCTGATGCTGCCGATGCTGATGCTGATGATGATCATAGTGGTGATGCTGATGATGGTGATGCTTATGGTGGTGATAGTGGTGATGATGCTAATTTTGAATGTGAGTCTGAGTATAAGTATGGGAATGCGTATGGGTACAGGTGTGATGCTACTGATGATGTTGATGTCGATTGTGTTAACGATGATGATGATTCCGGTACTGTTAACAGCGGGGGTACTGATGATGATTATGTTGGTGATGATGCTGATGATTAAGATGCTGATGCTGCTGATGCTGCTGACACTTATTCTGATGACGATGGCGATGCCGATTACGGTGATGATTTCGATGCTGATGCTGATGCTGATGATGCTGCTGCTGTTGATGATGCTGCTGCTCAAGATGCTGATGATGATGAGGAGGATTATGATGACGATCATGATGATGATCATGATGGTGGTGATGACGACGACTACGATGAGGATGATTATGCTGTTGCTGATGATGACGATGATGCCGCTGGTGATGCTGATACTGATGACGATGCTGATGGCGCTGATGATTTTGATGATGCAGATGATGATGATTGTGTTGCTGATGATGATCGTTCTGATACTCACGATAACGATGGTGATGATGCTGCTGATGACGATGCTGATGATGATGGTGATGATGATGGTGATGATGATGATGATGATGATGATGATGATGTGTATGAACATGAATCTGAGTATGAGCAAGGGTATAGTGCTAATGCCGACGATATGTTGATGACGATGAGGTTGACGATGATGTTGATGACCATACTGATGATGCTGATGCTACTGATGATGATGGCGCTGGTGGTGATGACGACAACGATGATGCTGATGCTGATGCTGCTGCTCATGCTGATAATGAGGACGGCGCTGACTACGGTGATTCCGATGCTGATGCTGATGGCGACGATGCTGCTGCTGCTGATAACGCTGCTGCTGAAGACGCTGCTGATGATGACGACGATGATGATGATGAAGCTGGTGATGGTCATGCTGCTGCTGCTGCTGATGATGATGATGATGATGATGGTCATGATGTCGCTGGTGATGCTGATACTGATGACGATATCGCTGATGATGCTGATAATGATGATTGTGAAGCTGACGATGGTGATGATGATGATGTTGATGCTGATGATGACGATGCTGCTGCTGATGCTGCTGATGATGCTGCTGATGATGGTGATGCTGCCTCCTGCTGGTGCTGATGCCGATGATGAGCATGGTGATGCTGAAGATGATCCTGCTGATGATGATGATGATGATGATGATGATGATGATGATGATGATGGTAATCATGGCGATGATGATGCTGCTGATCATGATGAAACTGATGATGAGTAGGATTGTGAGTATGAGTGTAAGTTTGTGTATAATGATAATTTTGATGCTTCTGTTGATGGTGATGATGCTGCCGGTGAGGATGCGGACGATAATGATTATGTTGGGATTCGGACGACGCTGACGATGATGTTAAATATAATGATGAGATGCTGATGCTGACGATGCTGCTGATGCTGTTACTGATGATGATGATGCTGATGTTCGCGGTGATGATTCCCACGCTGATGCTGATGCTGATGATGCTGTTGCTAAGGATGCGTCTGCTGAAAACGGTGCTGTTGATGATGCTGACGACGATGACGATGATGATGATGCCGATGATCATGCTGCTGCTGATGATGATGATGATGATGCCGTTGGTGATGTTGATACGGATAGAGGTGGTGATTACGCAGATGATGCTGATGAAGATGGTGATGATGATGCTGATGATGATGTTGATGATGATGGTAACGCTTATGATAATGATGATGATGCTGCTGGTGATGTTATTGCTGTTGGTTAAGATGATGCTGCTGATGATGACGCTGGTGATGCTCATGCTGATGATACT